AATTACACGAAAATAAATCCAGCTCTCGGGCTCGGGTTCTCCGATTACTAATTTCGACAGTTCAAATCGATCGTACGACAAATAAACAAAATCCAGACAATATAAATTAAATACGAACATTATTTTTAAAATACTAATATTATAAATCAAAATATACAATTAGCAATTAATTGACAAATAGACATATAATATTTAGACATTCAAATTGGCAAGCAATAATTAATATATCACAATAATAATAATAATAATAATAATAATAATAATAATAATAATAATATTAATAATAATAATAATAATAATAACACTTTAAATAGACCACAAATAAATGGGGCATTACAAGTTGCTAGGTTATTTTTTTGATGTTGCTAGGTTAGTTATCTGTAGTTGCTAGGTTAGTTGTCTTTTGTTGCTAGGTTATTTTCTTTCTTGCTGCTAAGTTAGCTGTCTTTTGTTGCTAGGTTAGTTATCATTAGCTGCTAGGTTAGTTGTGTTTTGTTGCTAGGTTAGTTGTCTGTTGTTGCTAGGTTAGATATTTGTAGCTACTAGGTTAGTTGAGTTTTGTTGCTAGGTTAGTTGTCTTAAGTTGTAGGCTATTTTTTTTCTTCCTGTTAAGTTAGTTGTGTTTTGTTGCTAGGTTTTTTTTTAATCAAACAGCGCCCCGAAAGGGCGGGGGATTGGGTTGGATCCCCAACCTGTGCATAGATCAGGACCCCAAAAACGGGGCCCAAAATACCAACGAACCACATACAATAGTCTACAGAGTCTCACTAACCAATATCAAAACAAAAAACCAAAAAGAAAAAGAAAACAAAAAACGAAAAATAACCAGAAACTACAATACAAAGTTGATCTTCGGGCTAACAGATGCCCGAAGTAAATGTCTACACTAATGAAATAAAAAACCTAATCTACTAAAATCGAAAAGATGGATATCCAAGCTGGCCCATCCAAACAAGCGTGCGGAGGCAGAGTGGAGCAGTGTCAGTCTGGAATGTATGTGTGTCTGGTATTGTGGCGCCAAGGCTGGCAAGATAGTCGGCGGGTTTGTTCCCCTCACGGAAAATGTGCGTGATCCTGTGATGGACAGACCGGAGTAGAGTTCTAATACGCATAAGCGGGTGCTGAATCTGCCACGAGCCCTGGTGGCCTGAGGTCAAAAGGGTGGAGACAGCCGCAGCGTCTAGCTCAATCCAAATGTGGCTAGAGAGGTGGACAACAATCTGAAGGCCGATCTGTAATGCCTGAATCTTTGCTAGGTTAATTCTTTCTTGCTGCTAGGTTAGTTGTCTGATGCTTCTAGGTTAGTTGTCTTTTGTTGCTAGGTTATTTCTTTCTTGCTGCTAGGTTAGTTGTTTTTTGTTGCTAGGTTAGTTGTGTTTTGTTGCTAGGTTATTTATTTCTTTCTGCTAGGTTAGTTGAGTTTTGTTGCTAGGTTTTTTTTTTTTTTTTTTTTTTTAAACAAACAACGCCCCGAAAGGGCGGGGGATTGGGCTGGATCCCCAACCTGTGCATAGATCAGGGCCCCAAAAACGGGAGCTCAAAATGTCAACGAACAAGGTACAAAAGTCTATGGAGTCTCACAAACAGAGTCAAAACCAAAAAAGAAACAAAAAAGAAAACTGAAAAACGAAAAAGGAACACAACCTACAATACAAAGCCGATCTTAAGTTGCTAGGTTATTTCTTTCTTGCTGCTAGATTAGTTGTCTTTTGTTGTTAGGTTAGTTATCTGGTTAGTTGTATTTCATTGTTGTTAGGTTAGTTGTATTTTATTTCTTTCTTGCTGCTAGGTTAGTTGTTTTTTGTTGGTAGGTTAGTTGTCTGTTGTTGGTAGGTTAGTTATCTGTTGTTGCTAGGTTATTTATTTCTTTCTGCTAGGTTAGTTGAGTTTTGTTGCTAGGTTAGTTGTCTTAAGTTGCTAGGTTATTTCTTTCTTGCTGCTAGATTAGTTGTCTTTTGTTGCTAGGTTAGTTGAGTTTTGTTGCTAGGTTAGTTGTCTTAAGTTGCTAGGTTATTTCTTTCTTGCTGCTAGATTAATTGTCTTTTGTTGCTAGGTTAGTTGTATTTTATTGCTGCTAGGTTAGTTGTATTTTGTTGCTAGGTTATTTCTTTCTTGCTGCTAGGTTAGTTGTATTTTATTGCTGCTAGGTTAGTTGTCTGATGCTGCTAGGTTAGTTGTATTTTATTGCTAGAATATTTCTTTCTTGTTGTTGTATTTTATTGCTGCTAGGTTAGTTGTATTTTATTGCTAGGATATTTCTTTCTTGCTGCTAGGTTAGCAGCTAGGTTAGTTGTCTGATGCTGCTAGGTTTTTTTTTTTCTTCAAAACAACCCCCCGGAAGGGCGGGGGATTGGGCTGGATCCCCAACCTGTGCATAGATCAGGGCCCCAAAATCGGGAGCCCAAAATATCAACGAACTAGATACAAAAGTCTATGGTGTCTCACAATCACAGTCAAAAACAAAAGAAAAACAAAAAGGAAAAACCGAAAAACGAAAAAGAAACAAAAACTACAGTACAAAGCCGATCTTCGGGCTAACAGATGCCCGATATACATGTCTATACTAATGAAAACAGAAATCCTAAACTAGTGAAAGCGGAACGCTGGATATCCAAGCTGGTCCATCCGTACAAGAGTGCGAAGGCAGAGTGGAGCAGTGTCGGTCTGGAGTGTATGTGTGCCTGGCATGGTGGCCCCAAGGTTGGCCAGGTAATCAGCCGGTCTGTTCCCCTCACGGAAAATATGCGTGATCCTGTGATGGACTGACCGAAGTAGATCTCTAATGCGCATAAGCGGGTGCTGAATATGCCACGAGCCCTGATGGCCCGAAGTCAGGAGGGTGGCGACAGCCGCAACATTCAGCTCGATCCATATATGACTAGAGAGGTGTACAGCAATCTGAAGGCCAATCTGTAGTGCCTGAATCTCTGCATCGTAGCTCGAGTAGGCCTGAATGGACGCGTGAAAGGCGGTGATGAGGGCGCCGCTATGGTCCCTAATCAAGCCTCCTCCTCCGGCAAGTCCAGTGTGGCGATCAAAGGAGCCATCAGTGTTCAGCTTGACCCATGGGGAGTCAGGTCGAAGCCAAACAACAGCTCTGGCCCGAGGAGGCCGAATAGGCGGTGGTGGGGCCACCATGTAGCGATGCGGTGGCGTGCAGCCTGTCCAGTCTCAGGCCGTGAGCCTGCCTAAAGCGATGAGGAGTGAAATGTGTCTCTCTACCTGCAAAACAATGTGAGAAAACATAAAAGTAGTATCCCTATGCTTCGCACTATTCCTTTCTGTCCAGGTGAACCAAAGGATCAGACAAGGAATGAGGAAGGTCACGTGTCTAAGGTGTGTGCTCTGTGAGAAAAAACTCAGGAGCTCAAAAAAACTGTATGTGGTGGGTAGGGATATATGAGTCCAAGTGGCAAAATGCTCCCACACTCTCCTCACAATCTCACTCTCTAGAAAAAGGTGGGTAAAGGTCTCGGTCTCATGGCGTCCAGTCTCAGAACAACACACACACCGAGAGGGGAAGGAGATCCCTCTCGCGTGTAACACAGTATCGACGGGTATCCGGCGTAAGAGGAGGCGCCAAAGGAATACCGAAATAGTAGGCGTGAAAAGGTCACTCCAGATAGCCCCGAATAGGAGATTAGGCCGATCCCTCAGCCTGATCTGCTCCCAAGCCGAGGTAGTAGAAAATACACCCGATGATGTAAGTCTCCACCTCATGCTATCTGTACCGTCCCCCGAGATAGGGATCTGCTGGATCTGATCTAATAACTGCTCGCTAAAACCCGCACCAGCCCCCAACTCCCTATCAAGCTTCTCCTTATCCCACGACCCGTCCGTCCAGAGGTCGCTCACGAGCAGGTAGGGAGAATGCGACACCTGCCTATCCCTATACAATGGCCTATCACCTACCCACCACTCATCCCATACACTGACATCGCTCCCGCCCAAAACCCAAAAGATGTGATCCTGGACTCGCCTCCCGACCTTAGTGAGGCGCCGCCACTGTCTGCTATCATGATCAACAGCCGTGACCCAACAAGGGTGGTTGGCACGTCTAGGACAGTACTTGCCGCGAAGGTACTGAGCCCAAAGCGACTTTCCTTCCCTGAAGCGCCACCACAGCTTGTATGAGAAAGCTGTAACAATGTCCCTGAGGCGGCGGATGCCAAGGCCACCCTCGGGAAGAGGGCGGCAGATAGAGTCCCAAATCACCCAGTGAGTACGTCTCCCCCTCCCAGACCCGTCCTCATAACCCCAAAAATAACGAGCCATAATCTGGTCAAGCTCGTCAAGNCTAGGTTAGTTGTTGTCTTGTTGTTTCTTGTTGCTAGGTTAGTTGTCTTTTTGTTGATAGTTGTCTTTTGTTGATAGGTTTGTTGTTGTCTTGTTGTTTCTTGTTGCTAGGTTAGTTGTCTTTTGTTGATAGGTTTTTTTTGCTGCTAGGTTAGTTGTTGTCTTTTGTTGATAGGTTCCTAGTTGTTGTCTTTTGTTGATAGATTTGTTGTCTTTTGTTGATAGGTTCCTAGTTGTTGTCTTTTGTTGATAGATTTTTTTTTTAAAAAAAATTGCAACCCATAGGATTTGAACCTGGTACCAGCAAGACAAGCAATGCAACCACTACACCACTCAAGGTTGAGTGTCTTTTGTTGCTAGGTTATTTCTTTCAATGCAACGGGTCAACACTGGAGTCAACGCTAGAAGTCAACGGTCAACGCCGGAAGTCAACGATTTTCACCGGAAGTCAACGCTGAAAGTTAACGGTCAACGCCGGAGTCAACGGTCAACGCCGGAGTCAACTAATAATTATTTTATTATTTAATTAATATATATTTTAATTGATTTTGATCTAGACAAAATGAATGGCTAAGATTGAGTCTAACGTACTCATTTTAAGGAGTGATCTCATTGAATCCGTCCAATATATATATATATATACGCTTCACTGTTTGGGGCATTTATTTGAATAAAACACCTGCAATGCCCCGCAGTATATCAAGGTCGCCGTCGTACTCGAGGAGGCGGCACTCCCGTTCCCGTTCACCGGCCGCCAATCACCGCCGCAGCACCCGCCGCCGCGACCGTTCGCGTTCACCTCACAGCAGGTCGCTTGTCGTTGCCCTACCTTAATTACCATTCTTCTTTATATTTCCCCAATACTGTAACTTTTTTGGAAATTAGCGCTTGAAAGTTGTAAGCTTGAATCCTTCTTTTGGTGTATATGCTTATTATTGGTCTTCCACCCATCAATTTAACTGTTTAATGTAATTGCCTAAAAATTAAATATTCTTGGGGAGTAAAGTAATAATCACTTGTGTGTTGGTCACTTAGATATGAATGCAAGCAAAAGATTTGATATGGTAAAAAGAGAATATGAAGGGTATTTGATTTTCAACCTGTCCATTGATAAAGTTGTCACACAGTCATAAATTCTTGAAGACTTCAATGTGTACTTTTTACAATTATTCATTGTTATTACAGGCGAAGAAGTCGTTCTCCCGCTTTGAGGCGTCGGAAGAGCCGTTCCCCAACACCAAGGCGTTACAGGAGACATAGAAGCCATAGCTCTTCTTTGTCTCCTTCACCAAAATCTCGTACTCCCAGCTCAAATTCTGATACCAAGCTCGCGAGCGAGAAATTGAAAAGGGAAGAAGAAGAAAAGAAAAGGTATAGTAACAAGTCCCTCTATCTACTGTTGCCGTAGAGTTGTTATCCATTAACTACTCTTGGTTTCTTGTTTTTTTTTTCTTTTTCTTTTTGTTGGTTTTTTAATTACTTGTATTGCACGGCATCCAAGTTGATTCCAAATATTCTGGGTTGATGATTATTCTGGAAGTCCATATGTAAAGAGAAAATAAAGTCTATAGGCCTGTTTTGCTTGTATTGACTGTAGGAGGTCTCAGTTTTTCCAGCAACCTTTGATTTCAAATCCCCCTTAAAATCCCATCTTTGTAGTGATTGAATTGTGGGATTGTCATAGTTAGTGATGTTTTGGTTTGCGGTGTTTTTTATTGTATGGGAAATGTATGTATGTTAGATAACAACCCTCCTTGTATGGGAAGTAAATTACTCACATGTATCAAGAGTCATATCTGTATGATGGCAGTGTTAGCCAATACGTAAAAGATCATATATTTTGCAAGCTTAATCTATGTAATTTTATGACTTTTTCTTACGATGTCTTTCGATGAATGTCTGCATTTTTTAATTTTTTTTGCCTATTTTGGTACTTATCTTTCTGTAATGCTATGTTACATAATGATGAGTCAGATATTTAGGCTGAGGAACTTTTCCGTGTTAACTTTTGACAAAGGAGAGATTTTATATATCACAATCTGCATAATAAGCTTATTTGCTTATTCTTGATTCTGGATGCATTAAAGTCTAGTTTAAGAAACCTCCATAAGTATTGTCCTTGAAAGTCTTTTTTGGTTATGAGTTTATGTAGAATTTAGGATATGTTTGGTAAATCTAGTTGAAAAACTAGAGCTATCTGATAAGTTAACTTATTGCTCATAAGTTACATTCGAACATATAGCTTATAAGTGATGACTGGAAAACTATTTGATATAATAAAAAGTGTGTTGTAAAATTAGTTGATAAGTCAGTTGAAACAAAAATCGCAATGGGCTTTTCTGAAACACTATGTAGAGAGGATCTAAACATAAGCTCAAGCTTTTTTAAGAAAGTTCATCCTACCAAACGAAACTTTTATGTGCTTTTAGGCTGCAGAATGAGGCTGAGCTGAAACAATTAGAAGAAGAGACGGCAAGGAGACTGGAGGAGGAGATTCGGAGAAGAGTTGAGGAGAAATTGGCCTCTGAGGAAGTCAAGTTAGATATTGAAAGAAAAATTGAAGAAGCTCGGAAAAAGTTGTTTCACGATGTTGAAGAGCAACTTAGAAAAGAAAAGGAAGCTGCTCTTGCTGAAGCTAGGCGAAAGGAGGTAAGTGCTTCTGGTGCTAATATATACATCTCAGTTTGAAACTTCTCTTGTGTATGCGCTTCATCTTTCTGTTTTTCTTACTAAAAACGTTTCTTGCTAACATTCAGTATTGCTGCTTCTCAACCTACGTAAACTACACTAGAAACATAGGGATATGGAAATGAAAATACATTCTGCATTCTCCTAATATAATTATAATCATAAAATAATGTTCCACTGGATAATTATTTACTTGCAATTGATCTAGCCACCAAATGGTTGTACCATTGACCAAGACATGGACACAGGTCATGTTTGGGCCGGATTTTGAAACATTGCTTGAAACATAACATATATATAAAAAAAAATTACATTATTTTTAAAGCGTCTCTCATATGAAATTAAAAACAAAAAAAAAAATATTGACAATATATCCTTTCTTTTACTTCTACCTCTCCTTCGCACTCGGTAGTAATTGAGTCTTTTCCAGTTGAGATCGAGTCTTATATTTCTTAGCTGAAATGATTTTAAGAGGCTCTGAATTTAGTAACTCACTCTTGCATGGTATTTTAATAATCTAAATATAATCACACATGAACAGGAACAAGCTCGGAGGGAGAGAGAGGAGCTCGATAAGATGCTAGAAGAGAATCGTAGGAGGGTTGAAGAGGCTCAGAGGAGAGAAGCTATGGAGCTGCAGAGGAAGGAAGAAGAAAGGCTCAAAGAGTTAGAATTGATTCAAAGACAGAAAGAAGAGGCTGCTAGAAGGAGAAGGCTTGAGGAAGAGGAAGAGGAGCTAGCAAATGATCACATGTTGCTATTGGGTAAGAACAAGCCTCGCCAAAAGTCGATAGGTCTATAGAGACTGTCTTTTGAGCTTGTTTAATGTTATGATGTTACATTCCAATTCGTCTGTAGAGATTGTCTGTTGAGCTTGTTTAATGTTATGATGTTACATTCCAATTCGTCTATAGAGACTGTCTTTTGAGCTTGTTTAATGTTGTGATGTTACATTCCAATTCGTTTATAGGGACTGTCTGTTGAGCTTGTTTAATGTTATGATGTTACATTCCAATTCGTCTATAGAGACTGTCTTTTGAGCTTGTTTAATGTTGTGATGTTACATTCCAATTCGTCTATAGAGACTGTCTTTTGAGCTTGTTTAATGTTATGATGTTACATTCCAATTCTTTTATAGAGACTGCCTGTTGAGCTTGTTTAATGTTATTGCTGTATAAACAAACTAGAAATAGGGTCCGGTTCCAAGAACTCTAGTCTAGGGAAAAGAGTAGGCTTCAGTACACACACGTATAGACATTTGAAAATACCACTTATAATAGAGTTTTTTTTTTTTTTTTTTNTATATGTTTACAACTTTTTTTTTCCCCCACAAATATTAGAGCATTCAATCCGTATGTCTCTCTCCAATCAATCCCACAATGTATGTAATTGTCTGTTTTCAAAGAAAATAGAGTTTGCCCAGTTCCTTTATTAATAAAAGTGACAGTTTAGTTCTCAGTTTAAACTATTTCCTTTTATTAATATGGCTCGTCGAGTTTCGAGCCCAATTATTTTACTATTCATTCCCAGTTATTAATTCCGGTCCATTTATTTTAGCGATGGATTTTATTCAGTCGGCATTAGTTATTTCCAGTTGACGAATATCGAAACCAAGCATGTTTCGATAAATCGTCTAAGTTAAGCCGTGTCCTGAACCCAGTATGTTCGGTCGCGAGTTTTGCGCCTAGTTCGCACATAGTCAAGTCTCGAGCCCAATAGTCTCGAGTCTTGATCAAGCCCTAGTCGTGCTTGTAGACTTACTTAGAATTTTTCTAAGTATGAGATCAATATTGTTGAGCCTTACAACCAAGTATTTTTCCTCGGCCAAGCTACCCGCACCTAGCTCGTGTGTGGTGTCGAGTCACTCATTCTAAGTTTTGTGCGAGTCAAGCTCTTGGCTATACCCGAGCCTTAGTGGCATTTTTCTAAGTATAATGGCTCATGAGTCCAGCCATTACTTAGCCAAGAACCAAGCTTGTCCCTCGGTCCAAAGGGACCATGAGTACCGAGCCCTAGGGCCACGCGGCTAAGCCTCGCGCGAGTCGGTGCTCGCGGCCTAGTCCCGACCATTATTTCCATGGGATTTTTCTAAGTGTTTTTGGCTACAAGACCAGCCATTAATTAGTCCAGCATGGGAGTTATTTTCAGCCCAAAGAGTTGGCTTTTTCCAGCCCAAACCGCGGCCAGCCCGCGCGTCCGTAATGCCGCGCGCAAGGCCCAATCCGTGGCCCAAGGTGAGAAAACCCTAGCCCAAACATCTTGGTCCACACCATGCGAATTTTAAGAGGGAAAAGTGGGGTGAGTTCAGGTCTTGAATTGGTCCAAGCCAAGTCAAGGGACAAGGGTTTAGTGCTATGTGAAGTGCTTCCCTAATTTAAGGAAAAATGGTCTCTTGGTCCCCTTCCACTCACCTCCACAAGACCAGCCTTGTTCCCTCCACCATTTGGACGTCTTGGGCAGCTCAAGGTCAGCAACAATGTCCCCTAAAATGTGGAAGTATGTCCAAAGCCATTCCAAGACCACTCAAGGCTTCTCCTCCACCTAGGCGGGCGTGTGGGTGGACATGTCCGCCATTTTTGGGACCTCGGTCAAGCAACCAAGACCAACATGTTCCCTCCACTTTTTGACCACTTTGGTTTGCCCAAAAGTCAGAAAGACATGTCCCCAAAACGTGCAAGCATGTCCAAGGTCACTCCAAGACATCTCCAACACCTAGGCACGCGTGAAGGTGGACTTGTCCCCCCACTTTTGGAGTCTTGGTCCCTTTATCTCATGACCACGTTTAAAACCTCTCTCCCCAGCATTTTTCCAGCTCTTGGACACTTAGAGAACTCAAGTATTTTGAGAGGAAAGTTTGGAAAAATCGAGGGCACCATTTGAGGCCATAACCGCGCGCGTGTGTTCGAGCAAGGGAGAGGCTGAGTTCCACTTGTTCAATCCGAGTTCTCTTGAGACTTAGCACTTTCCAAGAGTTTATTGGATTTTTCTAAGTCTTTGGAGCTCAACCATCTCAGCCATTTCATCCTCCAAGTCGAGCCAAGAGCCTTAGGCCGCGAGTAGAGCACACCTAGCACCATTTCGAGTTTGGTGAAAGGTAAACTCGTGTTTTTCATTTTTCTCAGCTATAACATGATAAAATAGGAATTATCATGTAGGAAAATGAGTTCATGAGCATGCTTAAAGATGAGTTTCGAATTTTTGAAAAATAAGCCCTTAAATTCGGATTTTTAAGTACAAGCATGAGTAGGCCGTTTTTCATAGCTCATAATCCTTCAAAAATCATGTTTATGTCATTGGGAAAAGATAGGCATGTTATGAGTTCAATGGTTCGGTCAAGTTGTTAGTGAAATCGAGTTATTTTCACCTCCGAACCCAAGCCTATGTACATGCGAGTTATAGCCATTGTCCCAGCCCTTAAAGTCATGATTTTTGATGAATTAAATTCGGCCATAAGTATTCTTATAAGTTAAGTAAGTTTGTTCGGTGACCTAGGGTCCGTACGAGCCATATCGGCCCTACTGGACCAAGTATAAATCCAACCGAGTTGCCCTAGCTTTTCTTGGCATATTTACATGTCTTATATCATGTTATGTTGGATAGAGTCCATTGTCATCGGAAAAGTAGCCGAAGGTCCTGCAAGGACCGGCCACGGTCGCTGGCCACGCACATAGCGCGCGCAGCGCCAGGCCGTGTCGCAGAGGCCAGGCCGCGCCTCTGTCCAGTGCCCGCGCCCAGCAGGCGCGAGGCCC